CAGAAACAAAACTGTGGAGAAGTGAAAGAACAAAAAGTATGTGTACCCATTTCTAAAATTAATTGAAGTGCCTCAAGTTATTTAGATTTGACCTTATTTCCCTGAGTGCACGAATGTTAGAAATCAAATTATGCAATAAGATTGAATTTCTTGAAAACATTTGGAAATCACATGCCAAGACACTCATCTTCCAGTACAAATGGTAAAACGAACTGGAGTGGGCCACAATTAGCCAGAAGACAGGTTATCCGTTTATCCATCCTTGCTAACTTATAACACAATGTACATTTGTAAATCTTAGACTTCAGTGATAACAACAGTCACCAGTTCTAAATCACCTAAGACATTTGTGAAGTATCACAGAGAAACAATGAAGGTTTGTCACTGGAAACAAACCATCCCCTCTGTAGAACTTGTTGCCATGGAAAAGTAAAAGATATGAATAAAACATAAGAGTATCAAAAGGAGCAAGTACAGCACTTGCCTGTTGTAACCTGGTAGTTACTACATGGTTTCGCCCTACTGATTCTCACTGGATAATGCTTGCTCTGCCCCCTTTCGTGCGCCAAAACTATGACGTCATCGTAAACAGGTTTCGCCAGAAGGAAGTTGAGATGCATTGTAGAACATAAAAACAAGTACAATGTTGGCAAATTTATTTAGGAAAAAATGAACATCATATTAAAACATTTGTATTAAACTACAAAAAGAGCAAAGAAATTAAAATTTAGATTGTTTTCAATCTTGAATTGAAATTTCAAGAACAGTTCCGATACACAAGTTCGTCTGATTGTTTTCAATCTGGAATGAAAAGTTAAACATGCAGTTTTGATACACAATAGATGGTGTGGACGCCACCGTCTCCGTGACTTGCGACGCCGTGTTTACAGTGGGCAGAGGGCTCCGTTTTCATTCGTTTAGGTACAAGAGGTGGATCCAGTTTGTTTTCGATGGCTGACAACATAGACTGTGACGGTCGCTTGTATTTTCTCACTGCCTCAGCGCTTCTGTGCCCGGTTATTCGCCTTATTTCCTGCTCTTCTACTCCCTCTTCATACAAACGTGTAGCACACGTGCGCTTCCCGGAGTGGTTTGTGAAGTAGCCAGGAATACCAGCGGAAGTGCACATATTCTTCACTAAAGTGCTCAGTTTGTTGACACCAATCACCTGACTGGAAAATCGAATGTTGTCATTTCCTTTAGCCGAAAGGGGTCTCCTGTAAAACGGTCCACTGTTGTCAATCTTGGATAGATACAGTTCATACAGGCATGGTAAGTTTGCAGTGGAGTGGTGACGCAATACTTTTGCCTCGACTGCCTGGTGTGCCAAACCTCCAGTGTAATTTTTTCGATATATGGTCCCATCTGATCAGTCCCGACCAAAATTTGATTAGCTTGTAGGCTTCTGTGTTCATCACAGGCTAATGTCCGAAAATTTTACAGTTGTAGAAGAACACTGTGTTCAGGTGACTTTGGCTGGTTTTATCCCCAAGCAATTCTTTATCCTATAAAGTTTTCTCGGTTTCTTTGCTGATGGGTTCAGCTTGTTTAACAGTCGTGCCGATACCTTTTGCTGTTAATCTTCGCATCTCGGCACTCAGAACTTGTCGGAAACGCTGCCACGCTAGATTTTTCGTATCCAAAAAGTTAACGCTGATGTTTCCCATTTCCCGCATGCGACGTAGCAAATCGGCACCTAAGAGATAGAGGGTTTTGGGTGGATTTTCTGAACCATCTACCTTTCGCGCTTCCAACACAAACCTGGACAGATGGTTGTTTACATCGGCGGATGTAAAGTCTTTGATCTCTGGCACACAAATATCTTGTCGGGATCCTCGCCATTGGTCGAAAACACGAATCGCCCACTTCGTGTTATTTCGAGTGTTCTTACTTTCAGCATCAGCTATGCGTTGCAAAATATGGTTCTTTTGATACGATTTTCGCAAATCGTTCAGTTTGAGCGGGTGGATCAACAGGATTAGTAATGTCATTAGGCCTATTTTCTTCAGAAAACGGGTTGAATTGAAGATCAAATAATCCAACATCCAGGTCAATTTGGTCGCTTCCACTCACTTCGTAAATGTTCAAAGACTGGGATAAAGTTAGGTCCTCAAACTTTAAATTCAACTCCATCGCCTCACCAACTTGGGAAAGTGTAATATCATCAATTTCATCATTCCACTCATTCACACTATCACTGCTGGGTATGAAAGTTGTTTCCACATCCTCCATGGCTGAGAATTAATTTTTGAAAACTTGAACGACCTAAGATGGCGCGTATATGTGATATTCATGAAGTCATAGGGTTCACCCATTTTCCCGCCACTTTGCTTTAAACACACCGCTGAAATCTCATGGTACAAGTCTGTTACCCCACCCACGACTCGAGGTTCGTCTAGTTACAACATGATTTGTCCTGGCTTTTGATTGACAGGTGTAGTGGCATCTCTGGCTACGCCCTAGTGCCCTACGCCTGTCAATCAAAAGCCAGGACAAACCATGTTGTAACTAGACGAACCTCTCGTGTGCCAATGGGGTAACTTTAACATATAAATTTGCCATGAGGGATTTTAAATTTAGCCTGTTCATTTCTCCCCTAACGATACATGCCAAATATTATCCTTACGTCAGTTTCGGAGAATATCTGTTTCATTTGTGGTCACTGCACCATGTCCAAAGATATAAGGCACAGTCTATAATTCTAAAACATTAAGTCATGATCTACATGTATCCCATAATGGTACATACAAAGCATCATCTTTGTATCTACATCTTTGTATCTGCAGCAGACTAACATCTGGTCTCTGAAATGAACATATTTTACAGAAAAAAACAGTTCCTAAAATATAATCATAAAATATAATGGAAAGGAGCCCAGAGACTTTTTTCATTTCTGAAACTGTGGAAATCTAGATTTGCCACATATTCTAGACTTGCATGGGCTTTCTTGGATAAATTTGTTTCAGGGTCTGTATGACAGACTACAGTTTCCTGTGGCCAGTAGGCATGTATTTCCGGAAGTCTGTATGGTGTCTTGATGTTACTGTCCTCACACCACAGTAATCAGTATAGGCAATATTTCATTGTTTGTCATAGATAGATTGCAAGCATTTGAACTGATGCATATCAGAGAAGAATGCATATGAAATTTACTTGTATATTTTGCATAATTAGTTTAATGTTGAAAAATTTCCTTTTGCTCGATGGCCTGCTGGAAGAGAACAAAGTCAAAAATATTAAATTATTAATCAAGTGAGAGCTCCTGTATATTTAGGAAATAAACATATATTGTGTTGAAAAATCAGAGGTATATAACGAAATTATAGTAGGTCTAAATTTGATTTAATACCGAAAGTGTGACTGAAATTGAAACACACACATACATATTGTATGACTTTCAGCTTTGATACTGAAGTGAGTGAGTGAGTTTGGTTTCACGCCACTCTTTGCAATATTCCAGCAATTTCATGGCTTGGTTCGATACTCAAGAAATCTGATAGGGATACACTTGAATTGATGTGCTGTGTCTTGTTGTCAGGAAGCTGTCCTACCTCTATCCTTCCACTAGCAACAGAAACACTGAAGTGAAGTGTATGGTGACATGACTCTTTATATCTGAAACGACACGTGACGATCCAGGTTAGAATTGATCTTCAGTAACCACTGCTTGTTGTAAGAGGCGAACGGGATTTGATGGTTGACACATGCCATCGTATCCCAGTTGCGTAGATCAATGCTCACTCGATTGTCTGGTCCAGACTCAATTGTTTACAGACCAACGCCATTTATCTGGAATATTGTTGAGCACTCACTCACTCACTTTTACTCACCTCCTAAGACTCACTCACTCCAGTTCTCACCGGGATCTCCACTCACTCACTCACTCACCACTCTCACTCCTCACTCACTCACTCCTCACTCATGTACCCTCTTAGTCACCTCCTAAGACAGCCATGGCTTGCTGGAGACCAGTTCTAACCGGGATCTCCATGGGTCATTGTAAATGTACCTTCTTGGTTCTGGGTGACAAGCAACTTTCAGGTCACTGACATGATACACTCTTCATATCACTCTCTCTCTCTCCCTCTCTCTCTCTCACTCACTCACTCAAACCGCCTCCTTGGTGTAGTGGTTAAAGCGTCCGCCCGGAGAGCGGAAGGTCGCGGGTTCGATCCCCGACCGCGTCATACCAAAAGATGTTAAAATATGGTACTTGTTGGTCCCTGCCTGGTGCTCGGCATTAATGGGTACAACAAGGACTGGTCGGCTCGGAGTCAGTATACTGTGTCTGAGTGGGGTATTCATTATGCACTGCGGCATGGTATCTCAGTGGGCTAGCACTATAAAACCAGCTTAAGTCTGGGCTAGTACAAGCAGCCACACATACACATACACACGCATGCACGTCGTCATATGAACGAAATATTCTCAAGCCCGTAAACCGAATTTCCTCACCTCACCTACCTCACCTCACTCACTGGAACCACCATTACAGAAAACCTGGTCTCTTTTAATGACATTTCTTGAGGTACTCACAAGTCTCACCTAAGTTCAGTCTGCCTTGATAACCTAATGGTTACATACAGCTTTAAAATTATTTTCTCATAAATACTATGCTGCTTTGTCTCTTATGACGCCTTCATAATCAATCAGAGGCAATTATACCAGTCAAATTTGTGAAGAAAGTGGAACATATATACCATTAATATGACAAATGAGCACCTTTTTGAAGTTTTAATCATTTTACGCTTACACCTACCTCTGAAAAATGTTACAGCACAATTTTCTTTGTCAGACCTTTTTGAACTGTAAATGGTTTGAGATTTAAGTCTAAGTTCATTATCTACACTGTCAGATGAAATGGGTCTGTGGTTGAACAACTTAAGTCGCATCCATCTTCAACTCTGCAAGTTAATGGCTAGGCTCAAATGTACAACTATACTGGCATTTTTTTCTAGATTTCGATTTGAATTATTGATCAAAACCTCGTGAATTTCCAGTTTGAAGCCAAGAGTTTTCTGGACAATTTGACAAGCAGTGCAAGGATGTGGAAGAAACTGCAGGATGCTATATTGAGTGACTTTTCCTTCAATGATTTGCCACCATCTTTGTGGACCGAAGTCCAGATGGAGTGAACTCCGCCCCTGATGCCGTGAATCTCCACCTGATGCCATGAAGAGTGTTTTGTGACTGAGAGTGGTATTGTTTGTCACATGACTGACATTCCAGAGAATCAAACTGTCAGTCCTAATTTGCTGTTTTCACTCTTCAAGGTTTGATGGACAGAACTTCCCAGTGACTTCTTCTTTAATTGTCTCCTCTGTACATTCTACTCTGCTGCACAGTCCAACTGAAGACTGTATGGCTGGGACACTGTAGTCTAATTGTTCCCTGTGCCCTGTAAGGGAGGAAGTTAGGGTCCGAGACCCGTGTTTATGTTTGTAGCAAAGATGAAACAGAATGTATGGTTTAAGAGACCCTCAATGATATTGCAGACAGAAATCTATTGGCAATAATTTTCTCAGCAAAAATCTGGTGATGTGAGGTTGCAATGTCAGACTTCCGCTAGAAATTGTATTTTTATTCTGGGGTCTATAGGATTTTCCCCCATATATTCTGGAAAATAAATATTTTGAGAACACATTCTAATTTTTCGAGATTTTATAGGACAGACTTGTTTGATTTAATGCTAAATACGCCCACTCTCAAACACAACTGTCCCAGTAATCTTGATTTCAGAATTTATGTACATGTCTGTTTCCACAACCACCATACAACAATGCAGCTTGCACTTGACTTAATAAACTCCGCAAGTATACTTGTCATGGAATCTGGTGCAACTTTATATTTATTGAAGTTCCTTCTTTGGATATGCAGGGACAGGACGCATTAATCAATTCTTACAATCATCCAGTGAATACTGGTTGTGCCAAGAATCTTAACATGTGGGGGAATGAATGGTATATCTTTTACCATATAGACATTACACAGATCCAAATTTTTTAAATGCGGCGTAAGACAAAGCCAATGTTTGTTGAATTGGGAATTAAGGGATCAGTGGTAAATAGACACAGTAATCTCCCCTTTACATTTTGTTTTGGGAGCAAGGTTTAGGGGATTTGGTTGTATTTGTCATCTTGATGCGTATATACACTTGGAAAAAAGTATCGCAACACACCATATTTTTCATAGTTTCAATATATTAACATTAACCATTGCAAAGAACTTCTCCAAACCTCAATTTAATGCACCAGCTGGATAAATGGACCCTCAAGGAATAATTAAATGGCAATTTGAAATGCTAAAAGAATGAAAAAACTGCAGTTTATTCATAAAAACTAATATGACAAGAAACTTGACCATTTTGTAGTGCTATTACCTACAGTCATATGATGCTAACAAGTGTGTTCATTTTTAAGATTCTGGTATATAGTCCTCCAAAAATTATATATAGGGGCAGTGGGGGTGCCTAGTGGTTAAAGCGGTCGCTCGTCATGCTGAAGACCCGGGTTCGAATCCCCACATGGGTACAATGTGTGAAGCCCATTTCTGGTGCCCCCTGCCGAGGAATAATGCTCAAACATGCTCCACAGGATTGAAATCTGGACTCATGGCGGGCCAAGGTAGAGTTACTATCACCTCTTGACATAAGAAATAACCAACAGAATGTGCACGGTGTGGCCTAGCATTGTCGTCCAGGAAGACTGGCCTTGTGTTCAGAGGAGGGTCACTGAAATGTGGTACAACAACCCCCGTCTTAGATGTCAGTGATGTACTGTTGTCCATTCAGATTTTGTCTGATCGTTACAAGATCAAGTCTACAGTCAAATGAGAGGTACCTCTGAGAAGCACCCTGTGATGAGCAGACGCTTGAACCACTAGGCTACACCACCCCCCGTCAATAACAACAAAAATCTGATGTGATACCTACCTTTGATCGTAGCACATGCATATATAAAAATCAATGTATGATGTGCTCAAAACATCTAAATAATCGTACAAACATAATTATGATATAGGAATATAAATGGCTATGTGGAGGTTAAAATCGTAGGTGTTGTGATACATTTTTTATGTGTATATGTTTAGTGTTATAAATAAAGTAACCAAGTAAATTTTAGAGCTATGAATCATTTAGAAAAGAGTTTTTTAATGTGATAACTCAGCTTAGATATTGTTGTGTAACATTAGAATGACATAGTTCTAAAGGACAAGGTGTGTTAAGGGTGTTTTTTGGCCCACAAACAGAATTGGCTGAACACATTTTATTTGTTTAGAGACAAGATAGCTTTGCATAAAAAAGCTATTTTTTAAATGATCTGAGGCCATAATTTCAATGCAGGGGGCCCAAATGGGTTTTATCAGTTCCCATGAAAAATAACAAGAAGTCTTAAATATCAGTGTGCCATTATGACTTATATACAACTATCAGTTTATTTACATACAAATAGTATCAGTTTTACAACAGGTATTTAGGATGAAGAAACATGTCAACATCAATCACAAGGTTTTAACTTTAAGGGGCCCAATTAGGGTTGCAAAACATTGTGGACAGTAATTCAATTACTTGCCAATTGATTAAAAAAAACCCCTCATTATTCACAATTTTCTTTGCAAATATAAACTGTAGGTCAATTTTACAACATGTACTTATGATAACCAATCATGTCCCACTAAAAGTCACAGGTCTTCACCTCAAAGGGGCCTATTTCAGGTGAAATTACATTCTTGGCACAGCTTGATTTAACACCATGTGTGTGTTAAGTCAGTATTTACAACATTCTTGCAAATAAACAGTAAACATCTCATTCACAACATGCTGTTACACTAACCAGTCATGTTGCACTACAAATCAGGTCTTGACCTCAAAGGGGGCCCATTTCGGGTGAAATTACATTCTTGGCACAGCTTGATTTTGACACCAAGTAAGTGTTAAAAGTCAGTATTCAAAAATCTTCAAAAAGTACTTATTCACAACTCATTCACTGTAAAGATATATAAAACATCCACTTTCCCTCTTCATCCACATGGTCATCAATCTCTGAATCAGTTTCTGAATCACTGTCAAAAACTGCAGCATTCAACCGTATCACTAGAGTTGCTGGAAACAGGCATATTGTCTTGGTGTCTGACATACCCAGATCTTCTCTCAACTGAAAAACAGATGACTTTATATCAAAAGAGAATTCTGTTTTAAAAACTTTGATATTATAAATCATAATTATAAGGGTAACATTACATATTTATTTTCAAATGTCAGTAGTCTGGCTTTGAAGGCTTATGCAGATTTAATCACAACTGAGGCATCAGTATTTCTGAAATTCGGTCACATTAAATTAGAAAATTGAAAAAAAATAATATTGATTATTTTTTAACACACATATGCTTACCTTCAACCTCAAGTTTTAAGTTGTCATCTTCATGAAATGACACTCCTGAAATCAGTCCAAGCAAATTTCTCTTATCTGAAAACAAATATTTGAAACCATAAAAGAATTATCTTTATGTTCAAGAAATTGGTGCGTTCTAATTTTACTAATGCTAAATATGTCATTAGTATAGTTATATAGGGAAGGGAATTGACCTCCAATAGCATAATCAATTGTTGAGGCCACCTTTTGATCAATTATAGATATAAGATAAAAACAACTGTTAGAGCACATGAAAACAAAGGTAATCAGTCCTCAGTTTCAATATGACAGTTGAAACCAATAGTCATTGATTCTGTATACATTTTTAAGAAGAAATAGTGAACGCTTTAATTGATTATCGGTAATTGACTGGCAGCCCACAAAATATCCATAAACTAATTATTTGTTTGATCAGTACACCACTAAAGTACTGTCTGAAATGCTAGAAAAATGCTTTTTGACTTATATTTAAAATTCAGAGGTATTACAGTTACTTAAATAACAAATATCACTTCAAGAAACATCTACCTAATGTAGACCGAGGGAATAAATTTTGAGACGGGCTCTAAAATCTGTTTTTACTGATGAAAATACCAAAAACTTAGAAAAATAAGGGGTAGTTGGACGTTATTTGAAACAAACATTAACTGCCTGTGTTACGTCATCAGCATGCACGGTATCGACAGGTGAAATTGACACCTGAGCACACGCTCGGGCGAGGGGTCATCTCAATAGATGTTTTCTGCAAAATGTTGAATATATGTACGTATAGTATAGGCATCAGTTATGTAAGGGATCATTTGTGTATGTGTGTTTGTTTTGAAATAAACATACGAATTTCTGTACATTGGAAAGAATCCTATCACTTGTGTTATCTTATCGATTGATTGTAGAAATGTGCAACGTTTTAATAAATGTTTTGCATGTCAACAGTATATTTCATTGAAAAAATATGGATGTAATTCAGTCAGTTTAATCTAGTTGTGAACATTGGCCAAAGATTTAACGAAGTCACTGGTGTAGCTTCTTTAGAATATATATATTTTTCTTCTCATAAAGTTTGTAGACCGCCCGTCTAAGCACTCCCTTGTCAAAGTTGTCAAGGATGGTTTTACGTCTCGGTTTTGCATTTGAGACGGTCCCTGTCTTGTCTGATTTGTTTACAATATTGTAAACTTGTTGGTAAGACATGCCAACAGCTCTACAACATCTGTAATAAACCCTTTCTAAACTAATGAAAGGTTTACCTCTGTCATTTTTAAGCAGAAAAAAACTATAAACCTTTGCAACAATCGACTGCAAATCGTTGGCCATAGTGGACGCTGTGATAAAGATGTGCATGCATGACGGGAAACTTATTTATCAAGACTTAACATTTATATTAATATATCTTCAATAAAGAAAACGATAATTAAGTAAAGTAACACAAACATTCAACATTGATTTGTTTAGGAAAAACGTTAATTCATATTTTTACACCACCTGTATTATTAGCATAAATGTAAAGACTATTTCAGATTTCTGTTGTTGAACTCTGAAAAAATCTTAAGTTGCTGTTTTGGTACCAAATTCTCTCCTGTAAACTGCCCTTTAAATGCATGGGAATGTTAAATCGATTGAAATAAAAATTAGGTAGACAATAGGCGAGTTGATATATTGACAACATAGTACATTTATCACCTTTGTAAAGATATTAAGGCTAAAAAGCATTTTTCTAGCATTTCCAACAATACTTTAATTAACAGCTCTGGACAGTTTGTAACTATGTACTTAAAGAAATTACCATACTAACATTTTGAAACAATGCTTACCTTCTCCAGGTTCTTTATTGTGTGGGAACAAAGGCAACGAGACAGAGTGGAAAAGTCAGTGTCTTCAGGCTTAAACAAGATTTACATGATGTTAATTCAAGTTTGTTTGAACAGTGTAACTTACATTACCAAACTTAAGAAAATTGTTTGTATAAAATTTGGATTTCATGTGTACAAGTTAAGTTAAACATTGTAAATTGGCTGACCAAACTATTGAGAAAAAAAAAGAAGAAAAAAAACCCATCAGGATTTGAACCTGCATGTCTGATAACAGAAAAAAATTGATAAACCATCACTGTAACCACTAGGCTACAGATTCCACTCTTATGTCTTGTCACTTTAAGCTTATATATTATACCTTGCAACAATGTGTCACTCGGCATCTGCTTGCTTTTCATCATCTTCTAGACCTTGATACAATGTTCTTATTCTAACAATATTAAATGTAGCCTAATATACCCTAGAAAACATCAAGGTACATTATTTTTGTTAAAATGTGTATGTTTATACACAGTTACATCCTGTGGAATGCCAGTGTTATTTGGCAGTGCCAGCTGACACAGAGGGGTTTGCTAAACAGATGATAGACCAAATAT